ATTACTAAAATAAAATAAGTTATCAAGGCCTTTAAATATAAAACTATAAAAACGTATTCGTATTCGTACATATCTATTTATATCATAACATGTGACTTTGTTCAAAAGTCAGATAACACGGTGTAATTATTTTAGCGACGCAGTCTCGCTTAAAATTTTCTTAAGCTAACATCCCGACTATCATTAGCATTGCTCGCGGCGTAATGTAATTAGCGATGAAGGAAAAAGTCCTTATTACTTAATAATATTTTAAATGCGATGGTTTAGATATAAGGATGGATGGATGTTTGTTAAAAGATGTGTGCAGAGGCACACAACTAATGAAATTAGGAATTGAACAGTGTGGAAAAACACATAGGCTACTTATTATTTTTCTAAATCCCAGACAGCTAGTGTTATTAACATGCTTGCCACAATTAAAATATAATTAACCTGTCCGTGTTATTTTAAAAGCGGTGACAATTCTTAATCCACTCCTTCACCGAGATTGGATTAAAATAGTCCACTCCGGATACACCGGATCTGGAAAGACAGCACTAACATTGTTCAGATAGCGTGTCAGCAAACATTTTGTAGCCGGAAACGAGCTCTTGGACAAGCTTCCGTTATCAGGATTATGTTATTAAACAGGCGTAGATTCAGTCCGAGGTGGTCCCTTGTTTAAGATTAAGGATCACATTTCATTGTGTGGATTTCTTTGTACAGGTCAAGTGTTACTTTGGGAGGTCTGATTAGTTGTAAAAGAATGTAACATGTTTAAGATTTTTAAAGATCTACATACGTTTGTTTTCTTTCATTTGGATTTAAATTATTTTAGCTATAAATCGAGCTTATCACCACCTCAAAGGCCGGCAACGCATCTGCGGTTCCTCTGGTATTGCTGATGTCCATGGGCGTCGTATAACACCTCGGTGTTCCCGCTGCTCGTTTGCGCCCTTCTGTTATAAAAAAAAAGAACAGAAAATGTTGTTTTCCGATGATTGATGATTCCGATGATTTTGTATATCTTCAATTCAAACAATAAATAAAAATCTGAATTGTCATTCGATCATATAAAGTCTATGCTATTTTTTAACTACTTAATTACCATAGAATTTTTTGCCATTAAATTTGAATCATATTTTTTTTTAAATATCATAAGGTGGCAAACGAGCGAGCGGCTACCTGAAATCGCTGAATAGAGAAGTGACCGTTGCTCATAGACATACGCAATTGCATATGCGTTGCCGACCTTTAATCGACGGAGGAGAGGATGCACTGAAAGAAAATATTTTTCCCTTCCATGCATCATCTCATCCGGAAAGTCCACTTCCACTTCCCATCCTTTCCTTATAAGAACAAAGGGTAGGAAGGAAAGAGGACTAAATTAGGCCTCCGGGACGCACACTCATCAGACGAAACGCGGAATTGCTTCCACTTCACGCCTGTCTTCTGCGTGGTCGTGGTATTTCACCGGGCGAGCCGGGCCAATTCGTGCGAAGATGTTAAAGCGGGCTGTACCACTGTTAAATACACATATGTTTTGGCGTTGCGTTTTAAAATATAAGGTCTAACACCACACGGTGCCAGGGTCTCGGTCGTAAATTGTATAGACTTATCACTGTTTACACCGGCGCGACTATCTGTCGCGCGTGTAAATACAATATTTTCTGTTTATGTTCTACATACAAATTTTTAACCTAGGATTATTTACAGCTTCACGCCTACACTTACTGCATAGACTGCTGTTCACTGCATTCCTTGATATTTTATTACATCACATTTACTTTTTTTTTACTATTTTAAACTTCTAGAATCATTTCTTTAGTAGAATTCATTTTATAGTACACTAGCTGACGTCCGCAACTCCGTCCGCGTGAAAATAAAAATAAAACTTAATTTGTAACCTATGTGTTCTTCCAGACTCTATATTATGTTCTACATCCATGCTAAATTTCATCGCGATCCGTTGAGATGGAGATACTTTTAAACAAACATCCATCCATCTATCCATCTAAACATTGGCATTTATATTATTAGTAAGATTTATAAATATACTACTTGAAAAAAGAATTAAGAAGAATTCAAACGCAAGTATTCTGTATTTTGATCGTGTTGTTCCACGATTGTAAAATACTGCTTACAATATTCTCACATAAGGCTGTTATTATACTCCTTACGTTACAGCAATTCGAAAACAAAAGAAACAGTTTTTTCGAACATCAGAGATCTTTTTGCAAATTATCCACGTTATTTAGTGTGAAGTTTTACAATTATTTAACGGCATATTGAAATCATTAATAAGAATTATATATCACCGATTGTTTTTACATCGACGAAGTGTGTTGTTATAAAAATAAAACAGTTTAATGTCGTGTTGTAAAAGTTATGAACCGTCACGTAATGACGTTGATACGATTACTGTGACAGCTGTAGTACAGTCGCGACATAAAGTGTGAAATGTATCTAATAATAAATCTTATTTTAATAATAAGTAATGTAGGTACTATTTTTAATAATGATAGTATTCCCTAAACTATATAAAGAATCTTACTAATATTATAAATGCGAATGTTTAGATGGATATTCTCGCTGAGATTTGACATAATATAATATAGTCTGGAAGAACATATAGGCAACTAATAATTTTTTTTAAATACCGTTTTATAAAAACAAAACTTCGGTGTGCGATTACGATGTGATAAGCGGTTGGTTATATGCAGAGTCAACCTAAACAGACTCTACTGTACGATTAATGCTTAAATTTTTGAGACTTATTTTTGTATTATTTTTGTCATAGTAGACTTTACTCAATTTACCAGGCATTAGAAACTCCGAATGTCAGATTCTTAGTTATCATTTTTGGTATAAGCGTTCTGTATATTAACAAATCACAACAAATAATAAAAATAAACTTTACGACAATACCAATCAGTGCGGTGCCGTAAGCACTTTTACGCGCGAGTGTCCGCTGTAAAGTTCAGCTGAGATGGCGCTTTACAGCCCCCCAATAAAACAATGAGCGTGCGCTTATCGCTTGTTATCAAAGCAGCAAACATTAAATGTATTTGAACGTGTGTCGTTTGCATTGCGTTTGTACGTCCCGAGCCGACGTTTGCTCTTCTGATGAGATAAAGCCCTGACACATATGCCTGCTTATACAATACTACACATTCAATTCTATAATTTTCGCATTGCATCTTTCAATGTATTATTTATTTTGATTATTAAACACTAGCTATCACCCTAGAATCCGTCCACGAGGAATTAAAAAAAACACACTGTGTGTTCTTCCAGATTATGTTCTAGATATTATATATTCTGGAGATACCTTCAAACAAACAACCATCCATCTAAGAATTTGACTGATTCGATTTACGTCAGTTTAATTGTTCGTCTTATGTTTAAAGTATTCGTTTTTACCGATAACTTCTTGTCAGTTGTACGTCAACTGCGATAATTATGTTTGCTTTATGACATAAAACACTACAAATAAGTTTTGCATGCTTGCGTACTTGTTATTTACTCATACAATTTTACCTATTTTCATAATAATAAAAAGTAAGTATACTTTGTTTCGCAAATTCAACTGTTTTTTACAATTAATAAAGTTGATTTGTTGAAATAATGTTAAAGCCAATAACGATACTGCAAATATTAGAAATAACAATGACATTCTTATTCAAGTAAAAAAAACAATTACTGTTAAGCCAAAGGTTTCAGAAGAAAAATGATTCGTTGAAACAAAACACAAAAATGTAAATAGTTATTTCGCTTCCGTTATTTTTCTCCCATTGTTTTTTTAATTTGTAATTATCAGTAAAATTGTCAACATCAATTGTAAAGATGCGTGACTTTTTCCAAAACAACGGGATTATTGGCAGTCAGAGAGCACTACGTACTATACACAAAAAAATATAAAGAAGTCATTCAAAGATGCGACAATGGGACAACATAATTCTAAAATCCATTGTGGTGAATAAGATATATAAAAAATTTAAATTATGTCTTCATGTATTTTAGCCATTGCTATGAAGCTAAGAAATAAATAAAAAAACAAAAATAATGGCATTATTTTCTAACAACGGATCATAAAAATGGAAAAGTATTTTGAGGAAAATGTGAAGTTAATAAATTTGAAATAAGAATATGTGAAATGTGAAATGAATTAATTTACACGTTTAATAATATTTTGCTGGAAAAACTGTTTACTGAACTACAAGATCTGTACCCATTTGAATACCCGTAAAAATACCTTCATTAAACCATCGTGTTAGTCGGGTTCAATAACTTTCAAAATTAATTTCAGTAATGACGTATATTTAATTGAGAATACATGTCGATTAGTATTCGCGCCTCATGTGGCAGCTATAAATAAGGGCAAGCGCACACTGCGCGTCTCCGGTGACTAATTTGTTAACAAGTGTTCGGGGACACTTAATTACCGAGGAAGCAACGGGGCGTCATCGTTGCTCAGCGAACACATTACTTTGTCAAGATTTACTTGTTAAATTATACTCCTATTAGCAACTTTAATTGAATTTACACTTCCTTTACAACGTTAGGTACTTAGCCTTTGCTGGCTGTATAACACAGACGGCAGTCTATAGGTAGGGGAAGACAAAAAAAAAGTAGTTACTTTATTATTATTAAGTGGATTATTCTGCAATAAATAGCGAGTTTATTTCTGTTTCGCAGTAATTAAATGGAAATATATGGTCTGCTATATATGGGACTTGTATCTCATAAAGTTGACGCGATGCACTTCCGGCTTTAAGTGTATCTGTACTTAACAGTCCACTTATTTTCTATTAGGTATATTTCACCTTCTTATTTATTTTAGCAATTTGTTTTTTATGTTTGATTTGATTTCTTAGTAAGTTTAATTTTCTATTTCTTTGTGGGCGTTGTAAATCTTCAGTTTATCTTACGTTTAAAGTAGTTTCTTGCATGTTGCTGTAATCAAACTAATTCCGACTATTGTGTTATTGACTAATATTGATTGGTATATTTTATTACAGTATGGGCGGAGACGGGCGAGTTTCGCGACAGTGGTCACTCTTCGCTTGCGTCAGGGGGCTCGGGCGTGGATCAGTCGTCATTGTACGCTCCGCCGCGCCCGCGCAGAGACCGCAAACACACCGATGACAGTCAGTAAACCTTTATGCTATTAGTCAGTAAGCTCCTTTATATTCCTAGTCAGTATTCCTTTTGCATTAAGTTTATATAAATGTTTTAGTACTTTCATACCTTAGACTCTTCTGAGCGAATCCACGAATGTCGATGTCAATTCAAGTGACTAGCGAACCGTACGGACATGGATGTTTCTAATAGATATGAGAGATAAAGAAAATCAACCACTTTAGTTTATTCGTGTTGTCATATATATGTTTTATGTTTAAAGAAACGAATGACTTGATTTATATCGATATCGTATAAAACAATAACACAACATACTTTGATTGTTTGTATCTAAATCCTGATTACAAAAATATCAAATGTATTTTCGGTATAAGATGCGAATTTCATAAGAATCGGTAAAAGGGACCACACAGTGTGACAAACTTAAAGCTGAACGCAAACTGAGTAAAGAGTCAGTGAATCTGATAGCAAATAGCCCGCTTGTTGATCTAATGCTTTCACAAACAGCGCTCCAGCAATGTGTGCGGACTGCGGACTCGAGCGCTTTTTATGCTTTATTATCACTATTCGTTCAGAAAATGTTTTCGATAGACTTCGGAACATATTTTTTTTTATTTTTTTTACTAAATTCATAGACATAACGACGGGGGCTCAGTGGTCAAGCACTTGACTTGCAATCTGCAGGTCCTGGGTTCGAATCCCGCCATGTACCAATGTGTTTTTCGATTTCCGATTTACATATGTTCATTTATCCGACGTTCGTACGGTGAAGGAAAACATCGTGATGCAACCTGCACATATCTGAGAAGAAATTCAAAGATATGTGTGAAGTCAACCAACCCGCACTTGGCCAGCGTGATTGACTATGGCCTAATCACCCTTAACTTAAGGTAGGCTCCGAGCCCCTCGGTGGGGACGTATAGTGAGCTGATGATGATTACTAAATTTGTTATTACTATATGATATTTATTAATGGATAAAGACAAAGGTGAATGAAAATCAGGTTAACACGAATTCAAACTGCAACACAAGATATATTTATAATAAAAAAAAAACAGTTCTATGATGAACAAATTATTGCTTGTATCAAGAGACACTTCATTACAGTTAAAAGATCATACGTCGCAGCACCAACGTGTCTACGATCCGAGTACACGATTTGTTGATAAGGATCATTATATAAGTAAGTTACATAACTGGCCACATTAAAGGAAACGTTGTAGCGGCATTATCAAAATGGAGTATTGAGTTGAAGTGGCATCGTGTACCGATATCATAACACATGTTAACTGCGTTATTTACCTACAAGTTTGTCGCGTCGGCCGAACGCAAAGGTTGCTGCTTGATGGATGGGGCGGCGAAGGCACAAAGCTTATCGCCGATAGCGGCTATCGGACGTTATCGCGGTATCGGCGGAGAATGCCCGCGGTAGCGGCCCCGCGCCCCCGCGTCCCTCAACCTCCGCGCCCCCTAATCCTGCCCTCTTCATTACACGCCGATGACTGGGCCCATGGTACAGATTGATGGTTTTAATATAGTCCAATGTGGTGATACACTAATCCTCACATGGCCGAATATTACTGTTACCACGTGACCGACTAGTTCGTATTAGCGTTTTTTTGGTCAGGCAATTCTCTATCTATTTCTCTCTACCATCGATTTCAGTCATTAAACAACCTTTTTTAACAGTTGATATTTTTTTAATTTATTTTATAACAACAAAAATTAATCTTAATTACTTTATTAATTGCCTGACTAATCTATTGAATCATATTTCAATCCCTAAAGTAATGAATCACTGATTTAGGCTGTACAAAAATATCTAAGAAATGCATGCGTTTACGTGCATCATACATTGCTAGATAATAAACGCCATACCAAATTACGACGGTGCAAATTCATAAAAGTATTTTTACTTTTATCATTTCCAGTCAAGGTTATATTATCTTACTGACTAGGTAAAAATGTAAAAAAATGTTTTAAATCAATATATTAATTATTTTATCAATACCAGCAATAAAAGTGTTAACAGTAATCCTACTAAATGTAATACATAAGTTGCACACAAAGTCGAAATCGTTGATAATATTTTTATCAACAAAATACCTATAAATATATTTTACTTTATTTAATAATACATAATACGGATTTAACTTTTAGCTACTATTATGATCCTTTTGTTGTGATTGCTCACTTTGATTTTAAAGGAATTAAAGGTTTTAGGTTGAAAAATGTTGACGGAAAATTTGTCATAGACAGACATTTAATCAACTAGATTGTAGATTTGAATTTCTATATGTGTAGCCTGTCCTATTATATATCTGCAAAACAAAATTAGCTTAAAGTTATTTGGGAGAATTAAAACAAAATCTTCTTTCTGGATTATGTCGACGACTAACTGTAGACATGTCATTAATTTTCACTTTGATCTTATACTCAGTTTGAAATGCAATTTTTCGATTACAAACTCAAATTACATACGAAAATATTTGTGATTATTGTTATACAATAGTTTAGGTGTTGTTTTTTCTCTATATAAGTAGACATTTAAAATACAGATCAGTTCATTAACACAGGGAATCTTTGAAACTCATTACGCTGTTTGCTTATGTACTATCATTGTCTTATCATTAAAGAATTGCTCTAATAATAACTTCGTATCAACTGTCCGATACGTTATGGTGTGGAGGAAACTTCTCTGTGAAATACTATGAAACTACCTCAAACTACACTATTATACTAGTTCTTTTGAAACATTTAATGGCATTTTCATTGTCATAGGTTCAGAATGTTTGTAATCAATCGCATCAAAGACTTTTTACTATTTATATTAAGCAATGTGCCAATTTATTGCTGTCAACCAACCACTAAAATTTTAAGTCTCCTAGGTCATTGGACTGTTTGTTAAAGATGTTAGAAAAATGTTAAACTAATCAACTGTTTAATCATATCATTGCACAAAAATAAATGCCAGAAAAAAAAGAATTTACTATCTGTGACATAAATAATGTTATAGTGGTGTGCCGCTCATCGAGAATAACTTATTTACAGCGGTGTCGTAAAAGTATTAGGTGCGCCTGCGCCCTAATCCCGCGCATTAGCTTGCGCTACCGGCCGCCATGATTCAATATTTTTTATCTGTACTTCCAAGTTTCGTGAGACGCTCTACAATTTATGCTCATTTTATTTTTGTTTAATTGCCGCTATTTATTCGAATAGAAATCAGCAAACATTGAAGCAAACATCAAAGAATTAAATTAGAAATAATATTAATCTCATATGAAATTTCTCAGGTAACCGACAATTAACATCAGAGCCAACGATAAAGACCGAATCAACGACGCCTGGAGTTGGGCCGGACGAACCGTCAATGGACGACAAAGGCGACAAGAAGAATAAGCGACAAAGACGGCAGAGGACGCATTTCACTAGCCAACAGTTACAAGAGCTGGAGGCGACGTTTGCGAGGAACCGATACCCTGACATGTCGACGCGAGAGGAGATCGCCATGTGGACCAACCTTACGGAAGCGAGAGTCAGAGTAAGTAATAAATATTTTAATCTTTATTATAAAGAAGAAGATCCATTCTAGAACTGAGTTTTATTTTATGAATTGATCAATTTCGAGACTTAATTGCAAAGATATAAAATGTAGGAAAGCACTTCCAATACGTAATATTATTATATACTCATAATTGACAATTTCTACCATTGACTTGAAAATTACGTGAAGGAATTCCCGAAAATTGATCTTCGATTGCTACTGAAATACCCAATCATAAAAATACTTTTAAATACTTTATTTCCAACAGCTTATCACGTGTACAATATGAAAGTTTTAGTGACAGATTCATTATCGCGAGCGATGTCATTCGGAAACTGATAAGTAATTATTGCTTGATAAAGGATCGATAATTAACTGGAGCGTAAAGGATGTGGCTTATTAAACTATGCAAGAACACTACATTATTTCTACAAGTGCATTCATGACATCACAGATTGACAATTTTTTGTCATTGAGAAATAATTACTAGCAGTAGATGTTAAAAGTTTTTACACGTTAATTGGAATAAAAAAGTAAAGAGGAGACATTTCCATTTACAGTCTAAAATCAAAGAAATTAAAAAAATAATACGACTACAATGTCTAAGTAAAATCTTAGGTACGGTGTAGAGGGCATGGTATTAAATACCTGTGCAGTATTCGTCTAGTTATTGTTAACCTATATTGGATAGTTTACTTCGTCGAAGTGTTTTACAATATATCGAGTCTTGTACGTTGCACCAGATCGTCGCATCCGGCGCGCGCCTTCGTATATTTTTGTGCCGCGCCGTCGGACGGAACACGGGATCCCTTAATCCGCGAGGATTTCAACCGTCTATTTCGGTCTCTTCATAATCCCCGGCTTAAGTGTGATCGTATCCACACTCACTGTCAATAGTTTCCGAAGGCCCGCGTTAGATTCTGCGGTCTAGAGCCCTGCAACTATTTACAGTGTGCGGCATGCTTCGGATGTCTTTCGGTTTCTTCGGTATGTCGATTGTCCGCGATAATCTTTGATACGTGTTAACTGAGCCGATTCTTGGGATAGGTTAATGCGGTTACTGTTTTAAGAAGTAAGAAAATTTTGAAATTGTTTTGAAACTTTTTTAATCTTATTTATCATACGGATTGGACTATTGTTGAATTGACAGGATTAAGATGTGTAAATCTGTTTATAATGAAATTTTAAGCTGCATATTCTTGACATTCTAATTGTGAATTACCAATAAAAGATGATATTACCAAAATTACTAATTTTTCTTCTATAATATAATGATTTAATCTTTGGACTAAGAGTTTATTTTATCTGTAATCTGTACTAACTCTTTTATTTGTAATCGATAACTAAATCGATATGTTCGTTTCGTCTCGCCGCGAGAGGCGCTTCAAGTGTTAAACATTAATTCCGACGCGTACAAACGGCACTGAATTGGCCCCGTGTGTTCTTAATAACGTTGTCTTTCGTATGACAGGGTTGTCACAAATTATTCAATTATTAATAATATATTATATAGTAAAGTTATTATTAACGAATACTACATTCTACCCATATCTGATTAACTGTTCTTTTAGCAAATTTTAAAAATTAATCAATTCTCCCTAAGTATGTATAGATGAAATGTAACGCAATGAAATTTTTTTTATTTAATTTTGATGTTAAAAAATCACAACTATTAAACCGTGGATCTACATTAATAGAATAAAAAAAATATTTGAAAAAACCTTCACACTTAAAACTAATTTAGTCCTGCAACGACAAATCGGCAACCCTAATGACAAGGGATTAGCGAGTGTTCCTGCGCCCGAGCCCGCCGTACGATAAATCTGTGCGCATGCGCACCAATAAATATCCCGACATTATTTTTGTTGCACACTCATTAGGGTCATTGCCTGCTTATTGGCTCTTAAAATATGATATGTTAATCTGAATGTTTTCTTTACTCCTTGCTCGAATTGTTATTTCATATCACATATTTCGCATTCTGTTCTAAATATAATTAGCATATCTTATTTCATTGTTTATAATTGACAGAAAATAACAAGAATTAAAACATATTTGTGATATATTTATTATATTTAAATCGAGCGTCAATAGCCTAATGGTTAAGGGTACGAATTTCCGATCACAAGGTCGGGGGTTCGAACCCCGCCATTCGACTATTGTCGTAAATCATATCCTAGCACAAGCCTAGAGCTTAGTTGTAACGGTAAAAGAAATGTTAGTAAATTTACAAAAAAAATCTGCTAATATTTTTCAAAAAAAATCTACTAGTTTTTATTAGCCATGAAAACTGTGTTAGCACAAAGTTATTATATCATAACTCGGAAGAAGAGAAGAAAATGATCAATATTTTCTAATTGTGTTAAAATTATTTATGATTAAAAAATTAAAAAATAGTTTTACTTAGCAAGTGAATGATGTACATTTAATATTGAGACGGTTTTCCTAGTGAGGGTTTATTATTATCGTTTTCTGAAGACATGGGGAGCGAACGCCGCCAATCGTCCGTGAAACAACTCTTGACACATTTCATTCCGTCCGAATCGCATATCCAACTGTACGACGTGAAATTAGCCACGCGTCCACAAAGTTTGTTTTCATAGGCGACATGTTTGTTATTCTTACAAGAATATTTCGAGGTTAGAATTTTTACTGTCAACTGTATTGATGAGATTTTAAAAGGATTGAATTTGTAGATTATTATTTTGATCCGGTTGGAATTTTTGTTGCCTTAACACGTGAGACATTTATTTACAAAGATGTTATTGCACACATAATTTAAATACACATAAATATTAATTAAAATCGAATAATAATATTGAACGTTAAACTAATTTGACAAATGAACGGATTTAATATCGTAGTTAAATATAACTCCAGCGTTCGTTAACACTCTAGACAGTTGTCTTACAATGTAAAGGAATAATCTTCTGTAATGTAGAATATATAACATTGAGTGTTTAAGACCTGTATTTAACTATGAATTAAATGGATATAAAATTTTGCTATAAATTGTTACAGTATTTTTGAATCATTTTCTTTACAGTGTCGTTTATAGTACATAAAATTACTTGTAATAAATTTTTTATCTTTCAAAACAAAAGTACTTATACAATTAAATTGATCGAAATTTAATTACTTATGTTTTGTATATTTTAGACAGGTATTATTTGAGGTTATATGTTGAGCACACAGTAATACACTGGGTGTAACACCTTTTAGAACTATTTGTACCCTAAAATCTGTACGTCCGTTGTTCGACGACGGACTCTCGTCACGTAGCATTATTTATTTAGCGTAGCTTGATGCTACGGCAGGCTACGGGGGCTATGAGACTACAGGGTTTTTGCTACGCTTTTAGTGGAGCGTGTTGCCTGCCCCGTGTGCAAACAGTTTAGCACGCTTCACGTTGTTTCCATCACGGCGCTAGTCTATACACTCGTTGGATTTTAATCGAAGCTTTTACAGGAATTGCCTAATCGGATTTAATACGGATATACGTTGAGTGATGTACAAACTTACTACTACATTCTTTTGTTTTTATTGTCTGTAACGTTTAACTTTAAATATTTTTTATTACGCCAGAGTTTTTTTACAAAAAAAAAATAAAGCAAATTAAAATATAATAAAAAGATATAAGGAAACTGGTAAGAGTGGAGGTCGCACAAATGCGTTATTAATGGCACAAATCGCTGACATCTCGAATTAATACATACTTTAAAATAGCTTCATAAGTATATATGCACGTTACCTGATGCCAAAATAAAACAACAGCATTACGAGACAATTAAACCACATAATGTCGTGTTTCCACTGGCCAGCGTCCAAACTGCACCCGTCAGTAATCTCTTAAAGTGTACGTTTCCACAACTAAAACAAATGATATTGTATTAACAAGTTATTGAATATATGTTCTACATATTTCGCACACGTCGAAATTCTGCGAAATATTTACAACATTCAATTTATAACCATAAGCCGTTGTTTTAGAGTTGATAATTGGAATAATCCGATCAATCTCTCCGGCTTATAAGCCTAGGACTAGTGGTTGAAGATATCCTACTTGTGTTTTGATAGGCCGAACGCCTCGTGTTTTGACCGGACGGATTTCGCAAGGCTTTGGCTGCTAATTTATTTCAATGAACGATCTGTAATCGACTGAATGGTTCGTAGATTTTGTAATCGTATATAATTCGAATTTATTCACCGCGGATATTCTATTCTAACATTGTAAATTTCGAGCTTGTTGAATTTATAGCATAAAATAGTCTGTTTTTACTTTGACCATGGGTTTCTTTTAGATTGAAATCTCTGTATAAAACATAATGTATTAAGTAATTATTTTTGACAAAACATAGATGTTTCAAACGGGCAGTTTGGTTTCAGAAACCCACAGTAAATTCGCGATTATAGCATAGCACCACCAATTTGCGTGCTTAATACATACAGATTTGAAATGTTTCTACTATATATGTGATAATCTTACTAATATTATTAATGCGTATGTTAGGATGGTTGAATAGGTGGTAGAAGGTATCTTTAGAACGGCTCCATGCATCTTGATGAAATTTGATACAGGTGTAGAATACATATGTGTTAATGTAACCTCGATAACTCTGGCTCCCGATAAAAAATTTGGCACAGGTATAAAAAATAGTCTCGAATAACACATAATTATTTTATCACTCTTTTTAAATGTTACGCAGGTGAAATCGCGGGCAAAAGAACTTCGATCATTCTTTGTATTCTTTTCTTTTAAGAAAATTAATGATTTTTTTACGTTGAACTTTAATCGTAATAAATCAAGGTCCTTTATTAGACAGTAAGTATTCCAAACTTAATAACATTTTAACATACTTACGTTTTTCCGTAGACGGAGGAGTTTGACCACATAATTTTGTTAGATGTCAGTGCAGCATCCCTGCGCCGCCGCCGCGGGGTGCATTTAATAAATCCACCCCAACAGAGCTACTCACAACTACCATTTTGATATTTTATTTTTACGATCTAAATCTAAGCAGTGACAAAACATAAATTACTATTTATACACTTTTAATCCCATTTATTTACGACTAGCTGTCGCCCGCGACTCCGCGCGGGATTACAAAAAAACTTAATTAGTAGCCTATGTATTTTATATCTATGTGCCTAAATACCATTTGTCATATAAAAAATATTTTTTAGAGTTATTCAATGCTTAGGTAAGTTCTCATTGCTGTGAGGAAATAAAACACAATCGTAATACTTTTTATTTAATCATGAAATAAATAAAAAATAAATGTAACAGAAATTCAATTAACACTCTTCTAAATACAAGCAGTAATCTAACTTACTTATTATAAATGTTTCATACATATATCACAATGTTAATTACACTACGTGCCAAACTTGATATTTCGTAGCTGATGATCCAGAAACCGTTTCATCACACCACGTGCATCTTTCGGGTAGTTAGGAATAAATCAAATTACCGAGCTTTAAGCCCACGCCGCCGCGAAACTAAGGCTATTATGCTTTGCCCAAACTGAGACCGTTCCGTAACATTTGATTGATGACTCTAATAAAACTGTGATTCTAGTTTAATTTAAATTTAAGGCAATTTATCGGGTCTGCGGTCCCGCTGACCGTAAAATAGCTTTATTATTCGCGTAGGGCGGCTACCGCGTTCATTACACAGAATATTATGTGGACCAAGCGACAAAACGCTTTTGTATGATAATGGAGCAAGAGTTCTTTAGGGTCACGATGCAAGATAGTTTGTTATTTGTAAAAATTGTATATATCCGTCATTTAAGAAATGCTAATTAATATTATTTTTTAAGATTAATAGTGTAAATGATAAGTCGCTAATAATTTCTTTAATCTTTTATTTATTTACAATCTTATAATATAAAGTTTTACTTCAGTTGATATTTTAAACAAGTCTTTATAATGTATAATTATGAGTTTATTTTACATATTATTGAGGGGAATAAAAATCTCTTTATTCTCATATAAGTTGCAAATTAAATGAAAACAATTCTCGACAAACATTAGTATCGAGACATTAAAAATTGGCGGCGTCCCTCAGCAAACGGCAGGCGGCAGGAGATCCGAGGCAGGAGGAAGGAGATCCCGGGCAGGAGGCAGGCGGCAGGAGGGCGCGAGCGGCGTCCGTCCTGCAATAATATATTTAAAGGATTAGCCCCGCGTCGCAATATCGCGCGACCCCGTCTCCGACCACGGCGCCCCCGCTATTCAAATAATGGAAATTATTTCCACATATGTGCACCTAAATAAATATCATTCTGTTGTCATTATTGAACGCCCCAACACTTCTGTGGAGCTATTTTCACCCGTTTGTTAGCGGTTACAATGGATCAACCGTATGCTTTGAGCTTTTTATCGTATATTTAAAGTCTTTTGTGTTTATGTTTTAATTATCTGACCCGTACCGTATATACATTGTTTATGATGTATTTGTTTTAAGTGATTTTATCATACATTCGTGATTTGAAATAATTTATATGTTTTACCTTTTTTTGTATATCCGCTTTTTATATTCACAAGTATCGTTCCGATTTGTACAAGTTTCTCGTTTTAATTTTTTTTATTTGTTTCGTTTAAAAATAACATCTACCTCGTAAACTTAAAAATTATAAAGGGGACCCATAATGTAAATGAACTATAAGATTATGACGAATTTCTAAAACGTGTATACTTACGACGAGCTTGTGCTTACGTATATTTGCGAAATTTATGTTTCGTAAAACAAACGATTCTATATGGGGTGGAAACGAGCGTTTATGTTCACTTAACCGAGCGAAGAGGGTATTATTTACCGTTTCGGGCGGCTGAACCCGCCACGCTGAGTGAGACGAATATCGCCGGCGTGGAATTTATAGCGCGCGTTGATGGCGCGATTTATCGCGAGGTGTCGTCGCCTATCGATCCACGTGACTGACGGCCGCCGTACATCAGCCGCCTTATCACTGCTCATCACTCGCAACAGCCTCTACGTCCGGACCTAAACAACCGCAGCCTGTCTTCCTCGTCGGGGCACATTTTCGGCTAAACTGAGCTCTTTCCGATCACGCCCCTCATTTATCTTCATTTCGCGGTTGCAATTAGAAGGATCGTCGGCCACCCGGCCGCGCCCGTTGCGTAGCCTCCGATATCACTACGTGGCCCGAATAACCCGAGGCTCCCCGTCGCTCTGTCAACTTCGTAATGAGCAAAGTTAATGGTCGCCCACGCGGTACCGGCCACGACTTGAATCTAGTTAAAAGTTCTCCACTCTGCAAAGCGAGTTTGACATTCTAAGTTAACGCCGGTTGGGGGTCGAAAATCTTAATTAGTTGTTAAAACTTATTTTTTGTTGCAGGTATGGTTTAAAAATCGGAGAGCGAAATGGCGGAAACGTGAAAGAAACGCCATGAACGCGGCGGCGGCTGCGGCCGCGGATTTCAAGAACGGTTTCAGCACGCAGTTCAACGGCCTCATGCAACCCTTCCCGGACACGGACGCGCTCTACTCTTCGTACCCGTACAACAACTGGGCGGCGAAGGTGCCGAGTCCTTTGGGCACAAAGAGCTTCCCTTGGCCGGTGAACCCTCTCGGGTCGGTGGTGCCCGCAAGCCACCACCAGGGCTCCGTTAACTGCTTCAACACGGCGACGTCCATGGGTGGCGTGGGCGGCGTGAGCGGCAGTATGGGCGTGGCGGGCTCTGCGTCGGTGGGCGGCGGAGTGGCGCCCTGCCCGTACACAGGCGCGCCCAACCCGTACATGTACCGCGCGGAGCCGTGCCCCGCGATGTCGTCATCCATCGCTTCACTGCGGCTGAAGGCGAAGCAGCACTCTTCGGGCTTCGGTGGCGGATACGGTGGCGTGTCGCCGGTATCGCGCGCCGGTTCGGCGCCGCTGGCCGCCTGCCAGTACGCAGCGGCCGGCGTGGGTGTCGACCGCGTGCTCTGAGAAGAGGCGCGCGGCCGCGAGCAGGCGCGCTCGCCGGCGCCGCTTGCGCGCATCTCCTAGTCGCCGCCCGCGCGCGCCGCCGGACTCTACCGCCACCTCTGGGACTGGTTCGACTGACGGACTGCGCGCGCGCACCGAATGATCCACATTACTTAGATTATTCCTGCGATTGTAAATATGTACGTAATTTATAGCGTCTTAGAATAGTAACACATGGGACGGTCGATGGCAATGATGTTAGCTGTTATTATTAATGTTCACCCAATTGTCGATTGCAAGTTATTAGCCTAGAATGGTGAGTGACATGACTACGTTATGTCGTGCGCGCATTGTGTTTCTACGTGTTAATATTCTAAGTGTCACGTATACCAAAGCGATGTGTGCAATTTTTACAAGCTTAAATGTATCTAGTTTTAGTACTGTTAGAATAGTATGTATCTAATTAAGTTATAGATTGTTGTAAATATAAATGCATTAAATTTCCTAAGATAATTTATTTGTATTCCGTTCGTTTTGGACGCAAAAAGGTAATTGTTTTGTGAATACCCACCAATGTTTAATAAATAAAGTAATAAACACTTGTTTATATATTTTAAATTATACAAAGTTCCTATAACACTGTTTATGTACTTTACACTATTGACCTTATATGTTAAAAATCATACCAGGTTGAAGTGGAGTAATACTTTAACAATTGCATTTCAAGTATGTCTAACTTTGGTTTATTTAAATAAGTATATAAGATATATCATAGTAATCACTAAACAAAGTTTCTTACACACGAATCATAAAAATACGTACTTTCAAAGAGGTACAAAATAAAGAAAACTTTGTTAATAAATCTTTAGTTTTGATAGATTTTGGAATATTCAATATTTTAATTATAAAATAAATGTAATAAAACACCCCTTATAGTACTAAAAAATACAGTTTTTATATTCATATGTAAATAGAAATTATGCAAAAAAATTTTGGCCTCCACAGAAAAAAAAAATCAATAACAACAATATTTAGTTTATAATATTTGTATTGAGCAATAATTGTTATTAATTAATATAAAGAAGATCCAGTAGATGTGGAACATAAAACCTCCAAATGAGATTAAAGTAATCAGGATCTCATAATTTATATAAAAAATGTATTTATTCATTTAAAAATGTAAATAAATGTAATTTATAAAAAACTTTTTATTAGCAATATCATTTAGTGTTTACTTAGAGTACCCATTTCCGTGTGCCTATGACATCAATGAACGAATCCTAAAGTAAATAATATTTATAATATTAATAAATGTAAATAAATAAATTCGAATTGTTGTTATAGTGAAAGTACGAATTCGAGGTTTTCATTTTTTACATATCAAACGAAATATATGCGAAGATGATTGTTTACGATTAATTTTGTAAATGTAATTAAGTGGTAATGATTGTTTTGTAATTTAAAAACAGAAACCTCTAGTCATAATAAAAGATATCAATGAACTTATTTAGTGGTTTGATTTTCTGATTAACATAAAAAAACCTGAGAATTCCTAAATTTTAATATGTTAGTCTTTTAACTCTTTTATGTTAGAAAGTATACCCCTGTACATCCCGGCAACGCATCTGCAATTGTGGATGTTTTAGGCAGCGGTCGCTTCACTATTGCGGCGAATTGAGTTGACCGCTTACTCGTTTGCTACCTTATAATATAATATAAAAAGGTTACCTTAAGGATAATAATAAAAGACTTGTCAGCCTCTTCTAAAGAAAACAAGACCTGTTAAAACTGATTTTCATCAATTCTCATATTTTTAACTACATACTTGTTTTTAAGAGGTAAGAAATACAGGAAAAGAAATTAAAGAAGCCTGAAACTGAAAAATGTTTTTTTTAGATGATATAACTATATCTAAACCAAAGTATTAACTATAACGATAATAAAGAACACAGAAAACCTCTTTATATCTATCTATGAAGATACAGAATTAGTCAAATAACAATAATTTTCAAATAAAAATAACTTTTGATTCAATTTTTATAGTATGAAAAGTTTTTGATCAAACAAATCGTAGTTTGCTATTATATTTTATAACACACTACCTGTCGTCTGCGACATCGTTCGCAATTAAATAAAACATAATATATAGATAGATAAAGCCTTTATTCACTGACAATAACAAAATATACTTTTACAATATTAACAACTTATTTTCTAATAATATTATACATATTAAATCATAACACGAAGCGCATAATTGCGCTATTTCATACATAGATCTATTTATTTGCCAAATTTTATCCAAATTCGTTTAGTAGTTTTTGAGTTACCTGCTAACATATATCCAGACATTCGCATTTATAATATTAGTAAGATAGTAAAAACAAATACATATACAAAAACTCAACGTTATTCAAAAGCGGTCCGCAGTATATACATAGGGAATATTCTGGGCACGACACGACAAAGCCCGCCTTTGGAAAGTTGCAGCGAAAGATGTGCATTAAATTGAAATGGAAATAAATTTCACGTTAACGTAAGCTATTTTATAGCGGCGAGCGACGGCTGGCGGAGGTAGATAGATTGCGTTGCCATGGCAACCGCGACAGCCTCACCGGACGACTTATTAAGAACACATTCAATGCACATAGGAAAGATATTACTTTCAAAGGTTCAGTTTAACTTTGAATGTGTTTTAAAAAGTGACCTGTCTCGCTGCAATAAGAGGTTTAATCGTTGTTTTACAAAAGTAAAACTTAAAAATCTTAAGATAATGAAAATTAAATTTAAGATATAAAACTAAGATTTTTTTATTTCTTCCTTTAAGTACTTTACCTTGAATTCTGATAAACTTCAGTACTGTTCTGTAACTTTTGTTAAATAGGTGTTTTAAAACACCATTTAATCAAACTTTACTATATGTATTTTAACAGTATTTTAACTGTATTGTTTCGATCAATACAGTCAAAGTTTAATCCTAATACGCATAACAGATTAAACACGGCACATTACCGCGAGGAATTACGAACACAAACGAAATTTCTGAGCAAAGACAAAGTAAAGGGCAAACTTCGAAGCGGCTAATTACGAGCGATTGATTCACGTGAATGGCGTACCGACGGCACCGAGCGGAAAGTATACAGTAAGCCGACGAATGATTATCAGCCTGCCGCGCAAACACAGTTCCCAGGTGCTCCAATCCAGCCGCTTTAAGGATTTAGTCGAGGATTTGCTTTCAATATTAGCCGTCGGCCGTCGAGGGCAGGCCCATTCCGTTCCGCTCTCTCACCTTTTTTTTATTATTTTGTCGCATCGTTTTGGCTCTAAATGGAATCATTCCACAATCTACATTTTTATTTTTCAATTGCTCACCGATTAGTGGGATTAGCTCGTATCGCTTTTCGATTCTTTGCTCCTTTTGGTGGAGCTTTCGCGGACTAACGCGGTCGCCTCTCTTACTCTAATGGCTTTTAGAGGCCGAACAGCTTAGTCCTTTGAATACTTACAGAATTTTTACTAAGCGCCTGCACATTCCATTCACGCGTTTTAATGTCATTTGTTAATATGTTCAATAAATATTTCTGACGTGAATACCGAAAAAATGTGCTGTTAGCAAGCTGTAAATACAATTTATGATATACCATAAGAATTTGTTTGCAAGGTAGAACAATAATTAATAAAAATGATTAGAACATTATCTCGTTGTTGTAGTGGTAACATCAAAGCCGCTGTGGCCGGATCGTTGGCGCTATCAGAGAGTCAATGCGGAGTTCATTGTTTACTCCCGCTACAATTATAGCGGCGTATAATTTCACGGTTACGTTTGTGGTTGCAGCAGAGGCACGTGTGAGCGGTGGCCGTGGCCCAGCCGAGCGCCTCACCTGTCTTATCTTTATGGCGTCTAACATTCATCTGTTTTTTTTTATTTTATCAAGGATTGCCTTCGTCACCGAGGTCTAGCCGCGTATGCACCACGATATCATATCAGCCCCGCGAGTTATATTATATTTGTCGACGAACAACATCGGCCGTAGTTGTTAGCACTCTCGCTGGTGGTTCTATTTACAGATTACGTGAGCATTTTAAAAGATTCATGTTCGTATGCATTCGAATAAACATAACAGGTACGTACGCGGCATGTCAATAGTTAACTACGGAGGGCTAGGTTTTGGGTGGAAAGGATCAAAACGGGATTAGAGGAACGACAACCAATCAAGGGTAACTGGACTGCTATACCTACGCGAAATAAATGCGGCGCATAAAACTTAAAACACGATGATCGAATGTGCACTTTGTATGAATTGGGTAGGGGTGATATTGCTTTGCGGAGTCGGTTTTATTGATGTTTTGTTTCGGAGGGAGGGTAGATGGATGAGGAGGGTTGGGGTAGCGAGTGCAGCCTCCGCAGACAATCTTACAAGTTAATTGTGTTCCGTGCCTGAAGCCTGAAGCCGTCCGACTACAAAATAATATCGTTCCTGCTACCCGCTACCCGCTACCGCTAGACTTATAGCACCTTTCTCTCGGTCCATATAACATTGTATTGAAATGTGTAAGCTCTACAAAATAGATTGGAGTAGAACATGTAATTAAAAATTGCACTTTGTGTTGAAAAGTAGGTTCAAAATTGTGTACCAAAACAAACCAACTGAAATAAACCAAAATAATATTGGCAATTACCGCAAAGGAACCAAGGATATAAGACACGTTAAATTCTAAACTAAAACAATTGCTTTTCCTGTGTGTACCTAAATGTTGATTAGATCACAATCCTTCAGAATTATTAAGTAAATGAAAAATAACGATTTTTAATAGGAACTGGCTTTCACAGGAGAGTTAGATTTTTCAGTTTAAAAAAGAATACCACACAGTCTCTACTTAAATTTATCTATTTTTCAACACGTCTACTTTATGTTTTAAACACAATTCCAGATTATATAGGAAATGTAGTTACATAAATGAAGAGTAAATAAATATTTACTTTTGTATTTGTTCCTTCATTTGGTTTCTCTATAGATGGAACTTTTATGTATACA